CTACTCAAAAGCAGACAAAAGATAAATAAAAACCTCTAGCAGATGCATTTCATACTGGAAGTTCTGGAACCTYGATTGACGTCACACTTTTTATGTTCAGATAATATCTGGAGGAAACTGTGCACTGGGTGAAGAAAACAAAAGCAGATTTCTGCTTGAAATTCTCTGTGCAGAAAGGGGAACACTACAGCAGTGTGCAGCTCAGTGCTTCAAAACTCTGTTTTTGAAAATAGCTGAAACATCCACTATTGCAGTGATACATCCCCTCTTCGTCCGGATCTCTCCACTCTCTCCCTGTGGAAGTGGGAAATACTCCTTGCTGCATTCAACGCTCAAAGGCCTCTCCCTTCAAACAAAACCTAGGTCTGATCATTGACAAGCAAGTAGATTTTCTTTGACTACATTAAGCCACCTCCTCTTGTCCCCAATTGTGATTCATTGATTCCTTAAGCATGATACAGAAATTCTGCATCCTAGGAATGGGTGGCAACGAGTGAATGTGGCCCAAGCACAGACACGGACGTTTCGTGCAGGGAACATTTAGCACATGGACAAAGCTGAGGCCATACGACATGAGACAAGCGCCGGTCACAACAAACAAGCCACAGGTAGAAAAAGAAACCATTGGCATCCTACCTCACCATCGAGGAAGGAGGAAAAACCCCCACAACAATAACAAAGAATAAGAATAGATTTGAGCAATTGCTTAATTTGGGTGCTAGTTGTTTAGCTTTCCGGATTATTCCAAAGSGCTAAGATGTTCTCTTCCAGGAAAGAGAAACAACACTTCACATGAAGAGAGAAAGGAAGCGAACATAGCAGTGTATAAACACAGAACCACAGACACAGACTTATTTTCATAGTGAAACCTCTGTTACGTAGCCTGGTGTTCCAGCTGCAAAGCATCAACTTGAGGAGCATCATCCCTGAGCAGAAGTCACTTCCGACTGCCGCGCGTCCCTAACGCCAGCCCAGGTCAAGCAGAGCAGCCACCACGTGTGACCTGGGCTGGTGGCTCCCACCAACACAATGCAAAGAACATTATTTGCTCCAGAGTTTTGTGATTTTAGCAAAATGAAAAGCTCTACGGTGATACCAGGACAGTCAAACAAAGCACTTAAGGTTCACCAAAACAGACAATAATCTCTAATATCATGGATAACATTGATGTCCCAGCTTAACTTCATGGAGAGACTGTTTCAAGGCTGCCTACAGCAATGCTTCCATTGGTCCCTGACTATATGTGTGCCTTAAACTGTGATTTTATAGGAGCTTCTGCTCACGTGCATGCTYTGTGCTACATCTGCTGGGCTTTTATTGCATCCCAAACAAAAACATGAAACAGGCCTCCCCTGTTCAAATTTTTGTCAGTGTTACCTTTGTTCTTAGCTAAATAGTTCATTCTGTCATGCTCAGTTTGTAACAAAAAAAGACAAAAGTATTCTGAGGAAGGCTCTTCATAAACATGCTGCTGGCATCAAAGCACCCAATGCTAAATCACTTTTTGCATACTTGTTGCCTTTGGAAAAGCACTATGGWTTTAAATGCAAAACCAGAAACCAATGTGAAGCATCAGCTGGCTGAAAAGCTCAACCTGCTAATTATCTGAACAGATTTATTTTAAAATGATAAAAACAGCATGTTCCTCGGGGGAATGATCTTTTCCCCTTCCCCCAATAAACGTGATTAATGCTTGCAAAGTACACCAGGCTTCCTCCTGTGCYGTTAAGCACTGGGGAAGATGAGCTTGGGTGAAGGGCAGAGCAGCACCTCGCAGGAAAGCTGCCGAGCGGCTCCGAGGCCGTCGGGGTCTGTAACTGCAGCCGGACAATCCTGCCCTCTGCGTCAGTCAGCCCAGGTACCAACGCGGGCAGCATCTGGCACGAGTTTGGCTTACGGTGCTGTTGGGTGGAACGTCCCCCACCAAGCAGCAGGATCTAGAGAGTTTAGCAGGGTCGTTGTACAGCACAAGACTCCCTGCTGCTTGATCGATTTATTTGCAAGGGTCAAGGTGGGAATAAAAAACGAATACTAAACTACCAAGATGATAAAGATGGAATTAAAAGGGGAAAAAAAACCCCAAGAATCTGCTGGAAGAAATCAGTAAGTAACTGAGGGAGGGACAGCTTCTGCACTGGTGGGCAGCCCCTTCAGCACAAACCTTCTGCAGCATCTTCTCAGGAACCCAGCCGTGGCAGCTCCCACCACCTTGACATCCTGCTGCATCCCGTGCTTGCTTCCACCTCCAGAATAAAACTTCCAAGAGGTGGCAGTAAATTGGGCTTTGCAGGGCCAGATCATCTTTCTTTACTGTCTCCTTACGGATCTGAAAAGGCTCACCACACCTATACTTAACTTGGATGTGATTTGATTTAATGGAGGCTGTCTGCAGCCTGAACATGGATTTGCGCCCATCAGTCTTCTCAAGGGGACAGACATTGCTGTTCACCAAAGTGATTTTATTCATTCTGAGTTTTTATGTAAGTATCAGGAACATATATCACTTTCAGAGCTCGGCACTGAGTTTTAGAGGCTTTGGAAGTTCCAAAAACATCATCTATTACTTTATGCAAGGAAATATGACAGACTGGAAAATGTATTATAGGAGGACACCCTGAGGTTATTATGTCCATAGCTAACTTAAGGGAAACCTTCCCTTCAAAAACATAAAACCCGTGTTGCAATGAATACTAAGATCTGATCGTTTAATAATATTCTGTATTCCTGCAATATCAAGCAGATATATAATGATTTATGAAGACAAAGCTCAGCACGCTCTCAAAACCYGATTCTGCAAGCAGACACGACAACGAATGTTTTTCAGCCTCCTGTTTTTCCCACTCTGTACTTGAAAAATAAAGGCAGCAAATTTCTTTGAACTTATATAATTCAGCGCTGTTATTTTCCAGAGGGCTAAAGTGGCCTTTTACATTCTTTAAGCCTGGCATTGTATGAAAGCAGATATCAAATATTAAGGCGGCTCAGTGTAGAAAGATCATTTTTCTGATGCTGAGCCTTTCTGAAGAGCTTCCTGCAAAGCCACAAACAATGGCTCCAGTGGCAATTCCCACCAGGCTGAGGTCACTGCTTCTTGCCAAGCCTTGTTTGAGGAGGCCTCGGGCCAAGGGGAGGCACAGGCCTGACAAAAAAAGGTGAGAAATGTGCAGTGCCTGTGAGGGGCCACAGAAGCTGACAATCTGTCTGAGGCAGCACTACAAACTAGTACAGAACAAAACAAAAAACCCCACAATTTGTTCATATTAATCTCTCTTGAAAAACGATTAGGTTGAGAACCTAATCTTCTTTGCATACAAAACCTGCAGGATCACCTTCCTCGTCCTCTTTTGGCGCCTTTTAACAAAATCCCCCGCTTTGGACCCAGAGTCAGAGCTCAGCAGAGGCCCYTCACCCCTCCAGGTGAGAAGGGTGACCCAAGACCTCTCTTCCCGGATTTCTAGAGTACCCAGCAAAGGCAGCAAAGGAAGGGCTGGCTGTAACTGGAATACTGCAGCACCTTCTCTTTGGGAGCAAGAGGATCTGCTCTAAACAGAGGATCATCCTCACCTTTCATTCCCACCAAGTCTCCTCAGGTCACTGTCAGGTGGAGGGGCTGTTTAGGTCATTCCAGTGCTGCCACAAAACCCATAGATGCAGGTGGTCTCCCAGCATGGTTAGGAACCCAGTTGTTTTCTTTGAAGCCTATGGAGCCTTTTATATTCCCATGGTGTTTCTCAGCTGGTTCTTTGACCCAAAGACAAAGTAGCTTGTGCAGAACATGAAGGGATCCCTACTTCCAGGGTGGGCATTGGGAGTCCAGCCCTACACTCCAAGGCAATAAAATCATGAAATGATGAAAAGATGATACTTGTTTCTTCACACAGCGGGAAACGATCTATAGGGTAACTGCTGTGTTTGAAATACCCTTGGCTGAGGAGAATCACCGGGCTTTGGAATTTAAAAACAGAAGGCATGCAGGTGCTCCAATAGCCCTAATGAGAAGCAGCCGAGTCCCCTGCTGCTTCTCCAGGGCCCCATCCCAGCCTTTTGTTGCTACCAGCCCAGCTCTGCAGATGGGATCTCAGGCTGCTGAGACGCCCTCGTCTTGGCTGAGCCTGGGCCACACGTGCTCCTCGTGCAGGGCTCCCACATCCACAGTGGCAGAAAAGGCCAGGGCTCCACAGGGCTCCTCGCCTGCATCCCATGGGACATCCCCGCAATGTCCCATGGACATCCCTGCTGCAGCTCCTGACCAATGTATGGTACAGGCCATATTTCCCCGTGCAGACCTGGGGACAGCTCACACTGATATAGCCTACACACTCAGCTGATGCTGCTTTGATCCCTCCATCCCTAAATTAAACCACATTTCCTTCCAAGGAACCTTCTGCTGTCCTCCCGAGCTGCAGGTTGGAAGGGGCACTTTCCTCTTCAGACACTCATCTTTGTTATTTCAAATCATCTACTCCTTCTAACTGCTAGCAATGAGCAGACTTGTGGCTCTTCAATGTTCAGTGTGATAGGACAAGGGGCAATGGGTGCAAGCTGCAACACAGGCAGTTCCATCTCCATGTGAGGAGGAACTTCTTCCCTGTGAGGGTGACAGAGCCCTGGAACAGGCTGCCCAGGGAGGCTGTGGAGTCTCCTTCTCTGGAGATCTTCTAAACCCACCTGGATGCCGCCCTGTGCCCCGTGCTCTGGGTGTCCCTGCTGGAGCAGGGGGTTGGACTGGATGATCGCTACAGGTCCCTTCCAACCTCAACCATGCTGTGATTCTGTGACTTGGGGAAAGCTAATAGGGACAGACTGGAGAAGGCCTGTTCCAAACCCAAGGTAAAACCAGAAAACACCAAGAGTTCACAATCAGCTTGGAAAAACGCTGCCCCTCTCACTTGTACTATAAAACTAAAAAGAGGTCCCATTTTACAGTGTAGGACTTCCCATAAAGTTAGGAACTTGAATAACTTGTTACTTTTGTATTAGATAGATAGATTTTTAAATACCTTTTCCAGCGCTTCTCTATCGACCAGCTCCTGCACAGCCAAAAGCTTGATGCTGTCAGAAAAATAAACACACCAGAAATAAAAAAGAATGAATCATTGCATTGCAAGCATTTCAGAAACACAAGCAGCAAAAAAAGAGCTTCGTGGATATTTTCTCACTTTGCAAAACATCTATAGATATGCAAATGCAAACCATGCTTAGAACATAAGCTACGGTGAGATAGCAAGTGTTACTTTTTTTTTTTTCCTTTGATATAGCTGTCCTCCACAGATCTTCTGCTTTCTGAGTAACAAGCGTGACCAAACTCACCTTTGGGAGAAACTGCTTTAATCATTATACTTATGTAACTTAGATTAACTCTGAAAGATCTTCTAATCCTCAAATATAGGGAAAGTACTAAATATTTCCATGCATGAGGTCATTTTTTCAGCCAGCTTTGTTCCTCAATACCAATTGATTTTCATCAGTATTTTGTCAGGCTCACAACAGTCATTCCTGAATGTTTACAACACTGTAGATGAGCTACACAGGCAGTTCCATCTCCAGGTGAGGAGGAACTTCTTCCCTGTGAGGGTGACAGAGCCCTGGCACAGGCTGCCCAGGGAGGCTGTGGAGTCTCCTTCTCTGGAGGTCTTCCAAACCTGCCTGGATGCCACCCTGTGCTCTGGGTGTCCCTGCTGGAGCAGGGGGGTTGGACTGGATGATCTCTAGAGGTCCCCTCCAACCTCAGCCATCCCGTGACTCTGTGATTCGTCTAGTTATTGGTATACACACAGAGCAAAGCCCAGTGCTCTTCCCACTAAGGCATTTCTGGGAAAGGTCTTGCTCTGTCCCCGCCAAACTGCATCTCTCCCAGGACAAGTAGGAACCTGAACAGAGATGCAAGTCTAACAATTTCCTAACCCTTCCCAGTTCAAAACAGGAATATAAGAGCATGTAAGGGGGAGGATCAATATCAGTCCCCCCTCTTTTGCTGTATGGGCAAGGGAAAGGAGAGGGGCACCTCAGTGCCATAGTTCCACATTGCTCTTTGCTCATGGAATAGGCAGGTATTGCAACTCACATTGCTGAGCTCCCTTACCCAGTCTTAAACCCCATCATTCAATATATTATCTCCGGACTCCCAAAGATAACTTCCTTTGCCCAGGGATGCACAAACATTTTTACTGCAGAAGAGGATCAAATGATGCCTATAAATACTGTTTAAATGACTCTGCCAGTCGCAGAGAGCCACAGCAAAGAGCCAGTACAGTCAGACACTCATGTTCARTACTGCAGGAGCAGCTCATGTGGAAGTGTCCACCAAAGGACATAATTTGCCACGCGCTACAAGAAGTTCTCCTTGCCTTCCCAAGCCTCAGAGCCATGCTGCATAATTCCYGAATGCCCCCTGACATCTCATGCATTAATTATGCATGTCCATCCTGTAAGAGAAGCTGGCGAGACGTAGCTTTGCCCATGTCCTTCCACTGCATTACAGTGCTCTCCATTAAGGCGATTCACAACCCAACCTCTAAGCACTAATGTGCTTTCACCTTAATGCACTTCTGATTTTCAGAGGTCTTCAGAGCATCATAAAAAGACTATACCCAGTGGATTATAAAGCAGTCTCAGGCCATACATTTCCAGCCCATACAGCCCACTGTTCTCCAGACGGAGCGGGCAGAGGCTGCATCAGCAAGGGCACAATTTCCAACACGATGCAGGTGAACATGCTCCAGGYGGCGAGGGCAGGAGAGACAGAGCCATGATCAAAGCCACCCACCTCTGGAGCCCGGGCGGGAGCCCCTGCTGCAGCACCCTTGGGAGGAGCACGGGACACGCAGGAGGGATGGATACTGGCACGTGAAGGCTCTCACCCCAGCTGGGCTCTGCAGAGAGGGCCACGAGGCCACGTGGCACCTCAGGAAAGGTGGCATTTGGCCATGCCCTTTCCCAAGGCAACGTGGCATTTACTCCTGATGCTGTTCTCCTTTCGAAGCCAACAGCTCCCTGAGACTTTTAGGGCACTTCACCACCAAAAGGTAAAGTGTATCAGTTAAGGCTGCTGCTGCTTTTACCAGTTGGCTGACTTATTTCTAGAACATTGGCTGGGGACTACCTGACCCTCAGTAGCTGCAGAGGAAACAGTGTAGATTGCCACAGCACACATCCTGCTGCCATTAGAGCTCAGCCTCTTATTGTACAAGCCCACCCTCATTCCCTACCACACTAYGAACCCCACAGGAATGCCTCCCCTGCCATGCTCTTGTTTCAAACTGAGCACACCGACTCAGACCAGAATGAGTTTATTTTCTCCCCTTTCATTTTCATGGATGCTGAACTCTTGCTCGGAGGTGAAGAACCTCTACAAAATGTTTATGTTCTGCATGAACAGGTCCAGTAGCAAGTCTAAATTCAACAACGCTATATAATTTGCAAGAAGGAGATCTTTTTTTTTGTGGTCTGTTTATTTGATACTCAATAAGAAAAGGATTTCCCTCTCCTACTCTAGACTTAACACAAATGAGGGCTTTCCCAATAGCCTCTTGCTTTGYGCCCAGCTGGTACCTGGTACTTGTTCTGTGTCAAAAGGAACTGGCAGATGCAAATGTTAGTCTCCAGGCAGCCAGCCATAAGACGTTTCATTCCTTGAAGCACTATCAATAATGCTGTCTTTGCTCATTAGGTTCAAATTCACTGCTCAGAACATTGCTCTTTATAGCCAGACATTCACTGTTTTGTTTGTTGGTTGGTTTGGTTTCTTTTTTATAGGAATTCCAAGCAAATACGGGCTACTTTATGTAATGTCAGCTTAGAAATGCAGCTTATTCCATGGCTGTTTGGGCATTTAACATTTAAATGTTAACTTTGGGCATTTAACATTTAAAGGGGGCAGCGAGACTACACGCACAGAGAGCAAGGGTGCCTCTCCATAGGCTGTTTGTAGCTTACGTGTTAGCTAAGGGGCTAGCACAGAAGAGAGGGGACCAGAGCTACTTAGTAGCTGAGAGGGAGGGAAAAAACAACCCCCTGATAAAGCTGAAAACCCAGAGCACTGAAGCCTGAGCTCCTGGTATCTCTACAATACTATGTTTATGTAGCCTGTTGTCCTTTACTTTATCCTCCCCGGAGCATGTGAACAAAGTTATGGAAAAGCATTTGCTTAAGAATCCTTGTGGTTATGGCGGGACCCGCTCTCCTTCATGAGTATTAAAGCACAGATCTGTTCTGCAGGCAGCTAGGCCTGCACGGAGGAAAATGCCCTGGTTATGTCTGAAACGACGCTAAAAACACTTATTGACTCGCCTACTTCCTTGGTGCCTTCGAGCAAAGCTCCTGGAATCAGCACCCTTGCACGCCGAGCACACTCGAGGCAGCTCCCTGCTAATTCCCCTCTACTTTAATGCGTGTGGTGAGGATGAGGACGAACCCTCCCACAGCAATGACAACAGGCAGACGTGGAGGGCGGTCAGGGAAGGCCCTGATGCAGGGAGCGCTCCCTCCAAGGGAATCCCTTGGGATGTGCACGTCAGCCCCAGCGCTGGGCGGGAGCCACGGAGCTCCTCTCCGGGTAGCCTGACCGTCCTTCCCAGAAATCCGCTTTGGGGCAGGCAGAACCGGCTCCCTCGCTCTGATCCTAAGCCCCCCAYGGCAGGAATATTTAAAGGCTTCTTGGTTTCTTTTTGCACGACAACTTGCTGCTGGGGCAGACTGACTTTCTCCAGAGACTTCAGGTTTTGTCTGTTAGTCAGCACTGCAGCCCACCTAAGGTCAGTAACASACAGAGCTGCCCTTTGACTGGATCTCTGTGAGCTTTCCGACCCCTTCCTAAGCGGTACCACATCACACCCCATCCACAATCACGGACATCATCATAAATAGCCCATGCAAAAGGCACTCGACCACAAGCARCCAGTTCTTTTAAGCATTACTAAAACATTCCCTCCTCCTTCCCTTGGGGCCCCACAAATTTTTCCCTTCTGCTCATGAGATAAAATTCCATAACCACGTTACGGCCCATGGTGAAATTTTAAGGCTGACTTACGTACCCAAGAGCAACTTCTAGCTGTTTATAATGGAAGTGTCTGGTGAGACACTTATGTRGRGGTTAATTAACATGAGAAAAGAAGGGACGAAGACCCCTTGGGTCTGTGCCAAATCCGCATGCTCAAGTGCATTTGCTCGAAGCCGAACGCTGAGGCCGCTTTCTCAGCCCTACGCAGACGGGCATCATCAGTTCCACTCTGAGACACGCGTGAAATCCTGCAAAGTTTTGGAGGGGCAGGAAAAAGGAAAACAAAACACAAAGGCACCAGCTGGCYGGGAGCGGCACAGCCCCCTTTCAGAGCGTGGGACTCCCGGTTTCCCTCCGAGCTGGCCAGGCGGCGCCGCGAGTGACGTAAGGATGGTGTTAAGGATAGTGACAAGGATGGCACTAAGGATGGCATTAAGGCTGCTGGAACCCAGGCGGGAGCTGATGGAGTAACCCGAGCGGCCGGGAYGGGAGCCCGCGGCGCCCCAGCGCCGGCCAGCAGCTCCACAAGCGGCACAGCAACGTGGTCTGCAAGATTCCCGGGAAAAATCTATCTAAAACAAGCAGAAGTTAGCCTGAAACAGGGCAGCGAGGTTTGCTTCACGGGGAGAAGAAAAGCATATTGTGGTTTATTTAAAGCTACTCCTTGCAGTTTCTTGGTTGGGGTGAAGGCAGCTGTTCTTCAGGGCCTCCTCATCCCCGCTGTGCCCACATGGAGGGTTAAACACACGGAGCACATCGAGGCTCCGCAGCTGGGAACTGAACCAGGACTAAATGGAAGCGCAGGGAAGCTGAGATCCATCAAGCAAATTGCTGGTGCAGCACAGGCTGGACAAGCACAGTTCCCTCGATGTTTGCATTCRTGGATCACATTGTATTATGTGAGTGGCTGGAGTATTTGTTATGGAGAGTAAGGAAACTGTAATGGATCTATGAGGGGGGGGAAGCATGAATTATGGATGGCTATTACGTTAAAGGAGGAAACAGTAACATTACCCRAGCTAATAGGCAGGAGGCAAATGAAAGAGTCCCTTCT